TTTTCTCTTTGTCTTTTGCCCTTGGCATTTTAATTATGATGTGTCTTGGTGTGGTCTTCTTTGGATTCCTCTTGTTTGGGGTTCTGTGCGCTTCCTGGACTTGTAAGTTTATTTCTTTCATCAGGTAGGAAAAGTTTTCTGCCATTATTTCTTCCAATAGGCCTTCAATATCCTGCTTGTTCTCTTCTTCTGGCACCCCAAAATCCAGATGTTAGTACGCTTTAAGCCATCCTGGAGGCTCCTTACACTATCCTCACACTTTTGGATTCTTCTTTCTTTTTGCCTCTCTTGTTGGGTGATTTTTGCTTATTTTTATTCCAGATCTTTGGTTTGATTCTTGGGGCACATTGATCTATAGCTGAGCTTCTGTATATTCTTTTTTTTAATTAAAATTTTTTTATTAAGGTATTATATGTGTACACACCTTACCAAGAGTTTCCAAGAGTTTCTGTATATTCTTTATTTCAGACTGTGTATTTTTAATTTCTGGCTGGTCCTTTTCCTTTTTTTGTATTCTCATTAAGATCCTTGAAGGTCTCACAAAGCTTCTTGGAGGTCTCATCAAGTATCTCAAAAGTTTTTAGAAGATTCTTGAGTAACCTTATAAATTAAGGTGACCAGACTGTCCCGCTTTTGGCTGTCCCGCCAAAAGTGGAACAATCTGGTCACCTTATTATAAATGTGATTCTGAACTCTGTGTCATTCAGTAGTTTATTTTCCTTCATCTCTCCCATTCTTGACATGCTTCTGTGTCTCCTCATTTTGGCTGCCTCCCTGTGTTGATAGAGTGGCTTTGTGTGGTCGGTGACCTATAGGGGCCAGTAGCTCAGCTTCCCCAATCACCTGAGGTGGTTGTTTTTGGTATATCCCTTTGGGGGCTGAATGCAAAGTCTTGGTGTAATTAAGCCTTGGTTGCTGATGGTACACTGGGAGGAATTGACCCCCAGGTCAATTGTCTGTGAGGACCTGCTGTGTCCATAAAGGAAGAACTGCTGCGCTGGAGACACACCTTGTTTCAGTGGGGCTTTGGTGCTCACTGAGTCCTTCTCCTGAATGTGTCACTTATAGGTGTGATGGGTTGAAACTGACCACTAGGAACACTGGCTTCTGGATCTCCAAGGCGGTGCAGTTCAGCTACTGTCTGAGGCCACACTGCAGGAGCTACATGAGAACCACAGTCCTCTCCTTGGTTAAACTACAACAGAGAGGGCCATTCATATGCAAAAGCCACTGCTTGGAGCTTGGGTGTTTGTAGGTTGTGCGGGGCGGAGTCTCAGGACAGTCTCAGGGCGTCACTAGGCTTGGGGCGTGGCCAACAGCAATGGCTGCCATCAGCCGCCTCTTAGAGCCTCTCTGACCGCATCCCTGCATCTCCCCGTCTCCCCACATCTCAGGCCCCCTGCATAGCAAACAAATATTCTTGCGCGAAGCTCTGCAAGCAAGCCACCCTCACTTTCTGACCCAATGGCAGACAGTTTAGCTTCTCCCCAGAAACTGGATTTCAGAGAGACCAGGAGATTGTCTCTCTTTGGGTTGAAGAAAGCAATGCCCTCCGCCAGCCGGGATCTGCCACCAGCCTTTATCGCGTCCACGACCCCCTACCTCAATTTTTTCAGTGCTTGTGCCCTGGATTTTCCTCTTTCTCTTTCAGTCTAGTTGTAGGGCTTCCTTTCAGCCAGCTTTCCCTTGGGTTTTGGGTGATAGACATTTTGTTTTACAGTTGTATTTTTGAAATTGTTGTGCATAGCAGCCATAGGTGTATTTACCTACACCGCCATCTTTGTTCTCTTATTGAAATTCTTGGTTCTTAGCAGCAGCTAGATAGGCAGGACTAGAGGTGGGAAGGAAAACAGGGGCCTTGTAGGTCATGAGTGGTCAACTCTCTCATTTTCCTCCTACTTCTTTGGCCACCCTCTTAGTCTTTGATTCTAGGCTAGACTCATATCCCATTCCATAGGTGGATCCAGCTTAGGCTCAGATCATAACCCCTAGCACAGTGACAGATGAACTGCTACAGGCCTGGAGTCTTGGAGTTGGTGGGTGGGTAGGAAGCACCCAACATTTTCAGGTCTGCCTTGGTTGTTAGGGGTCTTTCTTTTCCCACCTCCTTTGCACCTTCCCTCTTTCTAATTCTGAATGTGTAAGTGTCAAGGTTTATAGGCAAATCAAAGCAATGTTTAACGTACAGAGCACTTTCTAGCTACTAGGCACTGGGGATGTGGGCACATAGCAGCCTTGCCTTCCACATTTGTCTCCTCCCACTGCCTCCATATGAAAAGTAGTAAAGGACAAGGGCTCCCCCCTGCCTCAGGCAGTGTTTTGCTCCAGAATCCAGTGACTCTTTTTTTTTTTTGTATAGCAAAGGTGGAGATTTATTGAAGAACAAGTACAAACTTCTACATGGGGAGAGGGAAAGAGTAACAGAAAACGGATTCCCATGTAGGGAAGGGGAAAAGGTCCTTTCCAGTGACTTTCTAGTGCCTCTTAGGCCAAGTTAAATCCTTTATTAAGTTTCTTCATATCAGTCTCTGCTTATAAGTCATCTTCTTTTAGTCATTCATCTACATTTTTCTGAGTATCTACTGTGTGCCAGTTGCTGGATTTGGCCTAGGGCATACAGAAGTGAGTAAGACAAGCATGGTTCCTAACCTCATGGAGCTAAAACAGTGTAGTGGGAAAGGTTATTATTACAAACAAAAAATTATTATTATAAATGAAGATAATTGTGTGGAGGTTGTGCCAGAGGATGATGTGGGATCACAGGACAGGACCCTTCACCTTGGATGCTTGCCTGACCCAGAAAACTTGGCTGGAGTGTGGCACTTCTATAACCCAACTCTCCTGCCATAGACCAGAGCCAGGCCGCTGTGCTCTACGCCCAGAGGCTCTCTGCATCCAGGCTTGCCTTTCACTCGAGGTCCCTACCTTTCTTACTGGGAAGACACTGCAGATAGGAAGGCAAAAACTTATATATTCCCTTGACTTCTACCACAGCACATGCATTCCTGACCTAATCCTGGGAAGGGAGGAGGGGCTCTGTTCTGAGATGGCCCCATTGCAAGTCCTTGATGTTTCCTTGATGAAAGCCAGGGCCAAGGCATTGAGGAGGCTGGAGTGAGCAGACTCGGTTAGGGGGAAGGGCGTGAGGCCAAGGCTGATTTACTTCGAGTTGAGCTTGTTATTATAGAGCCCTGAAAGATTCATCAGCTCCAGGAATTAGAGTAGTGAGGGCAGCTTAGCCGCCAGGCCTGACCCTCAGCAGGGAAGCTCTGCGCATACAGTCTCCTTCAATCCACTCATACCTCATTTCTTTTTTTCCAGAAAGGAGATCAGTCTAAACAGCCCATAGGTCAAGGAAAAGCATCCCTGGAGAGTCCTGCTAAATCCCTACTTCCTGCCAGTTACTCTCTTGGCTCAGGTTTGAGTTCACCAAACAGAATTTCGGGTCCTCACTCTGCAACTGAATTTTACAGTTCAGAAAAGGGGTTGCCTTTTGCTCATTTACTTATTTTTATTTTAGTTAGAACACAACTTTCCTAGTATCCACATTCCAATTTACTGAACAAAGAACACATATTTACTGTGGAAGGTAATCGGATTATTCTTAACTAGTTGTGGAGACTTCTTGAGCTATTTAAGGGACAATTCTCTAAAGGAATGAATGAAATCAGGCCACACTCAGGCTTATTAGTGCAAACACACATATCCTGTTCAGGTATTATACTAATAGATTATAAGGAATTACAGGGATTGGACCATTTTAGGAGAAAAAAATGAGAAAATTACTAGAAAGAAGAAATGGAACCAGAGGAGAATTAGATGGGAACTTGGTGTGTTGAAAATGAGAGTACTGAGTGGCAACTTCTCCAAGTGCATAGGGACAAATAACCAGGCACTCTGGCTTTCTGAGGACACTAGTGTCCCCCTTTCCTCACCTACAATGGAAAAAAATCAGGATGCGACCACAGGATTTCCAGCACTGTAAGCACATCCTGGCTCCCACAGCAAGCATCCCAGGAGCCCAGTGCCACCAGGCTCTGGACTCTCTTTTTGCCCAAAAGGTGGGGTGATGTCTCTCCATCTGAACTGAGTGTGCTATTCCTGAGAATGGGTTTGTTTTCACTCATTCATTCATTCATTCATTCATTCATTCATTTCAGAGCCTTTACAGCAGTCCAGGCATTTTGGGACTCCCCAGAGACACTGCCCTCCTTAGTAGAGTAGTGAAGTAAGATATTTGGTTCTTTCCCCTTAATTTCCAAGCTCCCCTCAGCCTGGTCTAACTAAGCTGGTGTGTGACAATGAATACACGTTTGGGGAAGGAAAGCTAGATGAATGAAGGGGTTTCTCGCAGGTGTGAGCGCCCGGTGCGCTTGAATTTTTATTATTTACGAATAAAAGGTTTAAGTAAACACACACACACACACACACACACACACACACACACACACACAGCAACAACAAAACAAGGGGGGGGGGAGCAGAAAACAACTTTATCAGTCCCAGGAGGGCGCGGGCACACATATTGCACCGAACGTCATACACACACACCCCCCACTCACGAGGACATTCCTTCTTTAAACGCTCCAGCTCACTCTTTTTACTCCTACTTCTTTCCCTGACAAGCGTTAATCAGCGAATCTCTGACCGGAAAAAAAAAAAAAAAAAAGTGGGTGGATGGGGGGGATCCTGAAGTAGCGAAGGGAGGAGGAGGTGGAGAAAGGCGGGAGGAGGAGGAGGAGCCCAGCGAACTAGAGTCAGAGGGACTGGAGGCTCGGCGAGTGTGCAGCCCTGGGGAGAGCCAGTGTTCCAGGCTAGGAACCCATCTGCCAATACTGGCCCCCACCCCAACCTGGAGTCTCCCGAGCCAGCCCGCTCGCTGGCCCGGGTCCCCAGGCCTGCTACACCCTGAGCTGGGGCCGCTGCTCTGGGTCTCCAGGGCCAAGGGCGCCGCTTGTGGTGAGCCTGACGCACCGCCAGGCTAGTTCCCCGCGCTCGGGATGCCTTTCTACAGGCGCACGGTGGTGCCCCGGCGCCTGTGCCCGCGCAACCCGCCGCAGCCCCTGACGGAGCTCCGCGATGTGAGTCATTTAGCCATGCTCAGCCTGCTCCGGCAGCTCGCTGACCTCTGTGGCCACTCGCTGGCTTTGCTCGAGGACCTCGAGGGGCACCTGCTGGTCATGGGGCGCCGCACCGACAGCCTGGCCCGGAGCATCGTGCGCCTTCGCCGCCGCCTTCCCTGCCGCTTGCTTGGCCCGGAGGATGACCAGGATGAGCAAGGTAATAGCGCTCCAGAGGCTAGCCGCCCCGCGATTACCCCTCCTCTAGGGGCGCCAACGAGCGAGCCCGGACTCAGAGGATCCCCCCTTCCTTCCCCCCCCCCCCCCCGCCCCCTGCCCCGCTCCTCCCCTTCCCTTTTCTCTCTTCCCCTCAGGGAGTAAGGGTATTCTGTTTCTTTGACTCCCCACCCACCGCTCTCCCGCTGTAACTTCCTGCTCGTGGACCCGGCTGCGCGGTCCTAAGTGGACCTGTGCCATCGGGGCTCCTGACTCTGGAGTTGGCGGCCGCGTCTCGGGGAACTGAGGGAGGAAGGCGGGGGATGGGAATCACTGTATTCGGGACAGCTTCAGCGACGCCCCAAGGCCGGAGGCGTCCTCATCCTCGAGGCTTCCGGAACCAAATGGCCGAGCTGGTGGAGTCTTGGCTCCAGTCCTGGAGCCCGACCACTTCGGAAAGCGTTCCCCAGCAGCTGGCCACCTTTGTGACCACAGGAGCTTGGTGGTGGTGCCTACCGGCTTTAAATCTGTACAACTTCATGTCTAAGTATGCTCACGGCTCACACTCAAGAGGTGTGTCCTGAGCGCCCACCTGCCGGCTTCTTTACACCCTCCCAAATCCCGAGTTTAAGCGGCTGCGCCAGGAGTGGCCAGAGAAGGGTGGGAGGGAAAAAAAGACTGACCCCTGCTTCTCTGATCCCCTACCCCTGTTCACAGATTTGCTTGAGAGAATCTTTTAAAACAACCGTCATCGGTTTCGTGATTGTTTTAGGAAGCAGCCATTCCTGAAAAACCAGGTGGTGCCCCCCCCCCCCCCCCCCCGTTGAGTATGCAAAACCCATGAAAGGATAGGAGGGCAATTTGAACCCTTGTCCTTTATTACTTTGGACTCTAACACTTTGCTTTGGGAATCCTCTCTCCAATAGAAATGCCTTTTGCTGAGAGTAATGGGCTAAATATGCTGGAAATGCTGACCACAGCTGGGCATGTCAAGTACTAGGGCCAATTGGCACCATCAGAAAGTTAGGGGATAGCAGTGTGGTCATAAAGTTTCAAATGGGGGCAGAAGATGGCTACTGGCTGACTTTTGAGTGCAAGTCTCCAGCTATCTTGGGAAAGAATTGCTATTGCAGACTTCACCTTGCCCCTGCCCTTCCCAATAGGACAGGAGTCAGAAGCCCTGGTACTCTTCTTAAAAAAGGAATTTGACCTTTAAGGTAGATGGTGAAGGGCACTGGTGGATAAAAATGAACCAGATCTTGTGGGAAAAGGAAGGTGGAAGGTACAGATAACTGCCAGAGGGAATATTGACATGGGACCAAAAACCTCTGCATAGCAGGGGACTAGGAAAGCTGGGGACCTAAGTCTGGTTAGTTCTCGGTTAACAAAGAAGGTAAGAATATCATTGTTTATTTATTTTTGCTGGGGTCCCACTGACTACCAGGTTAGCCTAGGTCCTCGACTCCTCCATAGCCAAGATATCCCGCCCTAGGAGAAATCTGATAAGTCTGCTTGGGGAGTAGTTTTTAAAATCCACACAGCTCACAGAGAGCCATCTACAGAGTTTAGCAGGTTAAGTTAAGGACTGGGAAGAGGCTGTGTGCTTCCAACTTGTACCTTTCTGGCTGTTAATTGGAGAGCCCTTTCCATATGAGGGAAGGCCTGGCTTCACCAAGTCGTCTTGGGACCTAGCCCTTCCCAGTGACCTGCTGGGTTAGAAAGAGATAGCTTTATGCAGTGGATATCTTTTTATTATTATTTTTTAATTCTCACCCAATGATGTGTTTTTATTGATTTTTTAGAGAGAGAGGAAGGGGAGGGAGAGAAAGAGAGGCATTGATGTGAGAGAGAAACATCCATTAATTACATACCGCAAATGCCCCTCGGGAGTTCCAGTCGAACATGTTACCTTTTGGTGCACGGGAAGACATAGATATATATATATATTTTTTTTACAAAAAATTATTTTCCATTTACATTTTTAAAGCATCTTATCACATTTGCTTTTTTTTTTTTTTTAAAAAACCTTAATTGTTGAGGGTATTATAGATGTCCCCCATTTTCCTCCTATTGCCCCCCTCCACCCAGTTCCCACCCCACCCCAGGCCTTCACCACCCTATTGTCTGTGACCATAGGTGATGCATACATGTATATACATTCTTTGGTTAATCTCTTCCTGGTCCCACTCTCCCTTCTCTCTGAGATTCATCAGTCTCTTCCATGTTTCCATGCCTCTGGGTCTATTTTATTCATCAGTTTATTTTGTTTATTAGATTCCTTGTTCATTTATTTTGATTTTTAAATTCAATTTATAAATATGCATTTATTGCCATTTTATTGTTCATATTTTTATCTTTTATTTCTTCTTCTTAAAGAAGACCCTTTAATATTTCATGTAATAATGGTTTGTGATGATGAACTCATTTAGTTTTTTCTTGTCTGGGAAGCTCTTTATCTGACCTTTAATTCTAAATGATAGCTTTACTGGGTAGAGAAATCTTGGTTGTAGGTTCTTGTTATTCATCACTTTGAATATTCCTTGCCACTTCCTTCTGACTTGCAAAGTTTTCATTGAGAAACCAGCTGACAATCATATGGGTCCTATCTTATAGGTAACTAACCGCTTTTCTCTTGCTATTTTTTTTTAAAATATATTTTATTGATTTTGTACAGAGAGGAAGGGAGAGAGATAGAGAATCAGAAACATCGATGAGAGAGAGTCATCGACCAGCTGCCTCTTGCACACCCCCCACTGGAGATGTGCCCGCAACCAAGATACATGCCCTTGACCGGAATCGAACCCGGGACCCTTCGGTCCCCAAGCCGACGCTCTATCCATTGAGCCAAACCGGTCCCGGCTCTCTTGCTATTTTTAAGACTCTCTTTTTGTCTTTAACTTTGGCATTTTAATTATGATGAGTCTTGGTGTGGGCCTCTTTGGGTTCATCTTGTTTGGGACTCTTTGTACTTCCTGGGCTTAAATGTCTATTTTTTTTTTTTAATCAGGTAAAGGAAGTTTTGTGTCATTATTTTTCAAATTGGTTTTTCATTTATTGTTCCTTCTCTTCTCCTTTGAGTACCCCCTTGAGGCAAATGTTGGTATGCTTGAAGTTGTCGCAGAGACTCCTTACATAATCTTCATATTTTTGTATTCTTTTATTCTTTTTGCTCTTTTAATTGGGTGTTTTTTACTTTCTTATATTCCAAATTCTTTTTTTCTTTCATATTTCACAAATGCTTTTATTTTGTTTATTTTTTACTATTAATGTATTATATGTGTACATATCTTCCCATTGAGCCCCCCACCCCACTCCCATACATGCCCTCACCTCCCCAATGTTTTTTAAAATATATTTTATTGATTTTTTTTTTTTACAAAGAGGAAGGAAGAGTTGGAGAGATAGAGAGTTAGAAACATTGATGAGAGGGAATCATTGATCAGCTGCCTCCTACACCCCCCCCCCACTGGGGATGTGCCCACAACCAAGATACATGCCCTTGAGCAGAATCGAACCTGGGACCTTTCAGTCCACAGACCTATGCTCTATCCACTGAGCCAAACTGGTTCTGGCCACCCCCCAATGTTTTTCATCTGTTGGTTATTCTTATATGCATGCATATAAGTCCTTCGGTTGATGTCTTATCTCCCCCATCCTCCTTAACCTTCCCACTGTAATTTGACAGTCTGTTTGATGCTTTACTATCCTATATATATCTATCTTTTTGTTAATCAGTTTATAATGTTTTTTATTAACCACAAATGAGTGAGATCATGTGGTATTTTTTTTTTTTTTGACTGACTGGATTATTTCACTCAGCATAATGTTCTCCATTTCCATTCAGGTTGCTGCAAATGATAAGAATTCCTTTTTTAATGGCAGCATAATATTTTATTATGTAGATGTACCATAGTTTTCTGATCCAGTCATCTGCTGACGGGCATCTAGGCTGTTTCCAAATCTTAGCTATTGTAAATTGTGCTGCAGTGAACATAGGGGTGCATATATCCTTTCTGATTGGTGTTTCTAATTTCTTAGGATATATTCCTGGGAGTGGGATTACTGGGTCAAGTGGAAGTTCCATTTTCAGTTTTTGAGGAAACTCCATACTGTTCTCCACAGTGGCTGCGCCAGTCTGCATTCCAACTAGCAGTGCACAAGGGTTCCTTTTTCTCAGCATCCTTGCCAACACTTGTCGTTTGTTGATTTGTTGATGATAGCCATTCTGACAGGTATGAGATGCTACCTCATTGTCATTTTGATTTGCATCTTTCAGATAATTAGTGACTTTAAGCATGTTTTCATGTGTCTCTTGGCCTTTCTTTTGTCTTATTTCAAAAAGATTCTATTTAAGTCTGTTACCCATTTTTTTAAATTGGATCATTTATCTTCCTCTTATTAAGTTGTATAAGCTGCCTGAAGATGTTGGAGATTTAACCTTTATCAGTGATGACATTTGCAAATATGTTCTCCTATACAGTGGGCTTTCTTGTTGTTTGGTTGATGATTTCCTTTGCTGTCAAAAAGCTTTTTATCTTGATGTAGTCCCATTTGTTTATTTTCTCATTAGCTTCCATTGCCCTAGGGGCAGTATCAGTAAAGAAGTTCTTTTGGCATATGTCTGAGATTTTGCTGCCTGTGGATTCCTGTAGTATTTTTATGGTTTCTTGTCTTATGTCTAAGTCCTTTATCCATTTTAAGTTTATTGTGTATGGTGTAAGTTGGTGGTCTAGTTTCATTTTTTTGCATGTATCTGTCCAATTTTCCTAACACTATTTATTGAAGAGACAATCTTGACTCCATTGTATGTTGATGCCTCCTTTGTCAAATATTAATTGAGCATAGTGGTTTGGGTTGACATCTAGATTCTCTAGTCTATTCCATTGATCTATATGTCTGTTCTTATGCCCGTACTAGGCTGATCTTACTGATCTTACTGATGTACTGCTGGATACAATTTGCTAGAATTTTGTTGAGGATTTTGGCATCTATGTTCATGAGGGA